GCCAGTATGCCAGTGGGAATCTGATGTCAAGGGAGGCTGGCCTATTGTTTTATACTGCTGGCCTCCCCTGGCGAGGTCTGCATTGGTCTGCATTGACACTTTGGGCCTCCTTCAGTCCCAGACCCATGCATATGTGTGTGTCCCAGTATTTTCCCCTCAGGGTCTGCTGCTGCTGCGGCCATTTGGCCTGGATTTCGGACTGGGTGTCTGAATCTAGACCCCCTATTAGACTTAGACAGAACTAGGAACCTGCCCTTTGACTTCCTTTTGGACAGACACACATTCTGCACGAACACACACTCATACTGTACGAATAGACACTCACACTGTACATACAGACACATCTCTTGCCTGAACAGACATGACCTGCGCACCCCCTGGACGAACAGATGTGACTCCCAAAACCAAATATTGCAGCTGTCCGTACAGGGCACAACTGTGACCTTTGACATTGGCTTTTACTTAGCTAGGATGTGACTTTTGACCCAGAGAACATGTCCTTTGATCTGCTTTCACGAGTTGGGCCCTGGCGGGTGACCCCTCTACGCTGCATTTGCCGAACAGGGTCTGAATCGGGTAAAGGCCCTTTTACTAACGCCACTAATATACATTACAAACAATAAACCACACACCTTTATACCACATAGCAACACCACGCATATCAGTTATGGGTCTACTTGACGGCTTGAGGTAAAAGCAAACAAAAAAAGATTGACAAAACACGTTTCAAAAAAACCCACCCCCCCCTTCCCCCCCTTAAAAAAAAAACAAAAAAAAATGCACCACGGCCAAAACGCCACCAACCAAAAACACCACTCTGAAAAACAAACACACACCCGACGCAGACAGACCAGATGCGACACTCCCTACTTCCTGCATAGCCAGTCCTCCTCCCTAGACGACGAAAAAGACCCACACCACTACACGAACTGGTACACAACGAGACAACCAAAACACGGCACCTCGACTCCGTTACCTTTTTGTAATCCACATCGATAGCACCATACCCACCCCCGCAGTTACAAGGCACATCGGCTGGTACAACCCCTTCACCGCACTATGAGAAAGGATTTTTTTTCATATCCCTGCTCTTCCCCCCTTCCCCCTTAAACAATCTTACCACTGGCTTACACCCTCTCTCATACACACATGAAACCCCCAAAATGCAGCCACTACCCCACCCCCATCCTATCCCCGCTCACATACTTCGTCTAATCCTAGCCCGCAGTATGCGAGAGAGAGTGCGGGCTAGGATTAGAGGATGTGGGCGGGGACCCCCTATCCTTACTATCCTACCTCGTGTGACCAGCACTCAGGGATGTTGGAGTAGGGACGTTGGAGTGCGGGCTAGGATTAGAGAGAGTTCGGGCTAGGATCAGGGATAGGGACGTCGGAGTAGGTAGGTTGGAGTAGGGACGTCGGAGTAGGGATGTCGGAGTAGGGATGTCGGAGTAGGGACGTCGGAGTAGGGACGTCGGAGTAGGGACGTCGGGGGAGGGAGGGGAGTCAGGATGGGAAGGGAAGTCATGGGAGGGAGGTCAGTGCAGGGAGGGAAGTCGGGATGGGAACGGGGATCAGGGG